GTTCGGAGTTGTGCCAAGATACAGGCCTCTCTTCGTTTCAACTTGTCGTAGAGATCGCGAGTGTGCTTGCCAGGTAGTGCCTTATCCAGAGCCTTTGAGAATTTGCCTACGCCTTCGGGGAGAACTCTCCTCTGTTGTCGTTTGTTCAATTCCAGCCTGATTGCACTGGACTTGGCTTGGGGCATTTGGAGGTTGGGTATCTGTCCTTGTCTCGTTGTCCTTTGTGCTGCCGCCTTGGCCTCTAAGCCCAACGCAAAGTTGGCTTCCGCTGGGATCCACAAGAAGTCGACTGAGTTCCCTCTTTCTTGGTGCAGTCTAGCCAGCTCGTAGATTTGTCGTCTAGTGCCTTCGCCGGACTGTTGTCGCGGTTGCCTAATTGCTGCTAGCGCTGACTGGTTTCTGGTAACGATGGTGATGTGCCTATGGCAGGCGTTGGCCAGAGTCTTCTCCAAGGCCATTGCGATGGCTGCTAGTTCTGCTGTGTATGGGTTTTGCTCCTCCCTGGTGCCAAGGGTTATAGGGATTCTTGTCACGATCTCGTTGGTCCTGTTGAAGAAAGTGTCTCGTGCGATGCCACCAACACCGACAATGCCTTTCTTCACGGATGAGCTTGTTGCAATCACGATGCCCATGGCTCCGTTGGCCATCTCGGTCGCCTTCTCTCGGTCAGCTTCGATCGTCGGCTGTAGGCGAGGTACCCAGGGAGCGACGGCGTATTCCTGGATTGTTTCTATCTGTTCGGTTTTTGTTCCTTCTACCACCGCACGGGCGATCTTCTGGTTCGCGCTCGGCCTTCAAGCCGCCAGGCTACTAACGGTATCCGTCCCGCACAGTAAAGTGGACCCTGGTTTTGACTGACCAGCCAACCCTAGCTTGCCAAGACTTCAGCTCAGATCGACAGGCCGCGCTAACTCTGATTTGGCTTTTTCGGCCTGTCGATCACCCGTGTTCGGCCCGCCACACCATGACGGTCAAATGACGTGTCAGCATCGTCAGGAAGAGGTCCAATGCAGGCCCCAGCTCTGGGACCGTGGTGACCGAAACGTCGTCGCTGAATGGTCGACCGAAGTCATGAACCGCCCTCAGCTGCATCCCTCATTGGTGAAGGCCCGTGATTTGCAGCGTCGATTCGCGAGCCAGGCCATGATGAAGCGGTGATCACCTCTTTTGTGTGACCCTCCAACCACTGATTTTTCCCTCTCCCCAACGGCAACTTTAAAGGACGAAGCAGTCTTAGCGCCTGGCTCCTCCTTCCTTCAATTTACAGCCTACCACATCCGCCAGCACCATGTCAACACCGATCCCGCAACCCCCAGGCGTGCCCCTGCTGGGCAATATCTTTGATGTCAACCCGAACAACACGTGGTGGTCGCTCAAGACACTTGCCGAGAAGTACGGTGAGTGGGCAACTCTCAGTTACCATCACCAACAGAATCCTGAGAGAGATGAAGGAAGCTGACCATGGTCCATCTGGTGATCGCTCTCGGCAGGCGAAATCTTCCAGATCAATGCGCTGGGACACCGCATTGTATTTATAGCCAGCGCCGCGTTGGCCGGCGAAATCTGCGACGAGAAGAGGTTTCGCAAATACGTTGGCGGGCCCATTGAGGAGATCCGCTACGCTGTTCATGACTCCCTGTTCACCGCCTACCATCACGAGGAGAGCTGGGGCGTTGCCCATCGCATCATCGCGCCCCAGCTCAGCCCAGAGGCGGTTGCCAACCACTTCGACGAATTCCTCCAGTGTACCGACGAGCTGATTTCGAAATGGCATGGCCTCGGCCCCGACGCCCGCATCCGGCCCCTCGACCAGCTTAACCGGCTCAATCTTGAGGTCACTACACTCACCTTTTTTGGCAAGAAGCTCAATTGCCTCGACGGACCGGAACACTCCATGATCCGGGCCATGGAGGACTCGACGTCGGAAGCCATTAAGCGCCCTACCAGGCCGAAGCTGCTCAACTGGCTGGTGCACGGCGGCAAGTTTAAGAGGGCCACCAAGACAATGCGATCATTCGCCGCCGAATTAGTCAAAGAGCGCCAGCAGAACCCGTCCGACCGGCGCGACCTCCTCTGGACGCTGCTGAACGCAAAGGACCCCGAGACCGGCAAGGGGCTGACCGAGGCGCAAGTCATCGACGAGATCGTGACCATGCCCATCGGCAGCAGCACGGCACCCTGCGCCATCGCGGCGGGGATCCTCTTCCTCTTACAGAACCCGGACGCGGTGGTCAAGGCCCGAGACGAGATCGATGCCGTGGTCGGCGACGGCCCCTTCCGGCAGGACCACGTCTCGCAGCTGCCGTACGTCGCGGGCCTCGTCCGCGAGACGCTGCGCCTGTCGTGCGCCGCCCCGGGCTTCAACATCGAGCCCATCCCCAAGCCCGGAGACGAGTCGCCCGTGCTGCTGGCGGGGGGCAAGTACCAGATTCCGCACAACCAAGCCATGATTATCGTGCTGGCCGGGGTCAATAGGGATCCGGCTGTGTTTGAGGACCCGCTCGCCTTCCGGCCCGAGCGCATGATGGGTGACAGGTTTGAGCAGCTGCCGGCCGCGGTCAAGAAGTGGTTTGGTAATGGGAAGCGGGAGTGCATCGGCAAGCACTGGGCGTGGGAGTTTTTGGTGGTGGTCATGGCCAAGCTGATCCGGGAGGTCGACTTTGAGGCGGTGGATCCGAAGTACAAGCTGAAGCAGGATGGCTGGTTCAATATCCGACCCATCGACTTCTTTGTAAAGGTGAAGCCGAGAGCCCGGTGAGGTAGGGTTTGCCTGGGATGATGGCGGCGATCATTTATGACGTGAGAATTGATGATGAGATTGATGGATGGGAGAGCTTGCTGCTAACCGAGAAGATGGAATTGTTGGAACCTGCAGGGCGACGACCGCTAAGATATGCGCTGGAAGAAGCTATTCCCAGTCAAAGCAGTGGATTGAATTTTTAAGGTGGTAAAAGTGATTGATTGACCATGCTGTTGATGGGCATGGGAGAGGACTAAGTATGTAAGGAAGAGGGGTTGCGGTGCTGGCACCAATCAACCACCGAGGTCCGTTGAATGCAGCCATCAAGGCGGCTTCGTTCCGACAGGAATGACCGGGAATGCGCCAGCTGCACCGGTTCCCAACCCTGTGTAGTTAACGAGATCAGAATTGCCTCTACGCACATGGTGCATTTGGCAGGATTTAATGAGGACGCCGTGGGAAACGGCTCAATGTTTCCATCCTAAAAAACCTGGAAAGCTGGTTACCTTCTTTAAGGTAGGTAACTGATAACTTCGAGTCATTGCGTCGAACAAATGTTTGCCTCAAGGTGGCTGCGTCTCTCTTGTCTCCAGCCCATTTCGTCAGGTTTATCTCGGTTGGGTATCCAGGTCGTCGTTCTCCTCCAGCGGCATGCTCACATCCGCTGGTGTCTCGGGCTTGAAAGCACGACCGCAGACCGAATGGCACTGCCTCTGTCACCGAGCTTTGATAGCATTTTTGAATTGTGGCCAATGACTATCTTGCTTGGCTGCGGGCCTGAACGTAGCATGGCACATTTCTTCAGCGGCTCGCTTTGACCTCACTCGTCGATGATGCGTGTAAGAAAGATTCCAGACCTGGTCAGCCGACATACGTAATGGTCAGGCAGGCTAGGCATCTGGCCCTGTCCACCCGCACATACACTTTGCTCCTGCTTATCTGAATTGCTGGAGATCAACCGAAGCTCCGGGGTACGAGATAGTACGAAAATAGATATAATAGGGGGCGGAGCAAGCGTCTGTGTACGTTCTTCAGGGTGACAGCTCTGAGCTTGGGCAGCATGAAGTCATCAGCGGGTCAATGCGAATGGAAGGGCCAGAGGGAAGATAGCTTTGCCATGGAGCGCCGTGTACATTATATATTTGGTCTCTTTCTATCAAATCCTTGCCTCAGCTTTCCTCTTCCATTGCGCTTCCAGATTCTCGGTATACCCCCACTCGCTAGAATCTCGCTCGCTCGCTCACCTCCTTCGATCACAAACCCAAATCGTTCTTCCCCTATTTCGATCCTCCAAAAAAAATGCGTTTTTCCATCACCACCGTTTGCGCCACCCTCCTTACTTTGGCCGCCGCCCAGGGCGCCACCGTCACTCTGCCCGCCGGCGTCACCCTCCCTGCAGGCATCACGCTCCCGTCCGGCGTGACCGTGGTCCAGACCTCTAACACCGCCGAGCCCGAGGCCGCCAATCAGCGCAAGCGTGTCCGCCAGTTCGACAACAACAACAACGCCGTCAGCGCCTTCTCCGGGTTCTCGACCTCCATCGGCCGCCGCCAGACCCGGACCGCCTCCGCCGGATCCCGCCCTACCCGTCCGGCTGGTCTAGGCCAGTTCTAAAGACCGTGCCGGATACACGCTAGATTCCCTGCAGATGATGACGACAAAAAGTCTCAGCCGAGGGATATTATCCGAGCTTGCGATCACGCATAACGAGCATGGATAGCGGCGCCAGGTTGAATTAGTGTTTTGTTGGAGATTCAAGTTTGACACATTCCTTGTTGAGATTGGGATAGGTTTTTGGGCATTCATTGGATAGACTGGATGGGGGAGTGCTTCCTGAGGTGGCAATTCTGTGTTTCCTATTGCGGCCCGCCCGCCGGGGGATCACCAGTGGCTTGTACGGGAGAAACGCAGGCGGGAACATCGGGGTGTGGTAGGGGGCGCACAAGACAAGCGCCAGGTTCAATGTGATTGATGTCTGTCATTACCCCCGAGTTACAATCAACCCTCCATACCTTACTGTCCATGGCTTTGGGATACTGGAACAGAATTCAATGAACCAACCTAACCCCTATATAGTCGTCCTAATGCCTTTGGTGACCTTGCTGTTAGCTAACGCGAAACAAAAGAACTCTAACCAAGTGCTTGGGTCATCACCTTTGGTGACCTTGCTGTTAGCTAGCGCGAAAAGAAGACTAACCAAGCGCTTGGGTCATCAACCCCTTGTCAAAGTGTGACATGTAGGCACGCATGAACTCTGCTTTGGAAATGTCAATGTTCAGGCTACGTTCTGCAGCGCCCTTCAACTGTCTTCCAACGGCGTTGGTGGAGAGGTTGAGACAAATGGCATTTTTCACTTTTGGGCTGAAGAACGCTCAGCTATCGTCCCAGAGCACCAGCTGTCCCCGTATCCGAACCGTCGTTCCATTCGTGGAGGACGACAAATACGACTGCGTCTCCTCTCACTAAGGTACCTTAGTATGATACCCAGTATCACCGTTTCTTGCCGAAGGTCAAACAGGTGAAAGCAAACCTTGAAGACCCTGTCTACTAATTCCAAGTTGGACCAATCAACCAGGTCCGAATCTTTTCGACTGCAAACCAGTCGTGCTGTGTCTCGGATGTGTTGGAGCCCGACTCGCCCTGAAACATACCCGTGTGCCGCGGGAGGCGCCCAAATCTCGGCCTATCTCACGGCAAGAGCCGAAGTCGACCAGGACGGGCATCCGCCGGCAGGGAGAAACATTGATCGGGGTGTTGCCGTCCCGGCACCAATCTCGATGGGATTCAAAGTTTCACCGCGAATGCCACAGCACGTCGAGGTGAGCAGCCGACCGAGATCACAAGCCTGTGTGTCACCAACGGTCAGCCTAGAAGAGAAACCAAGCGAAGCGTTGGGGCTGGGGGATGCACGCTGCCGACAGGGCCTGCGACTATGAAGGTGGCCGTTGGCGCTACCGACGTTGCTTTGAAGGAAATCACTGTCATGGAAGCCGGGGAGCGGTCGATGACGTCGCCGGAGGACCTAATACCAAGTCAGCTTTAGATGATAGGTAAGGTCTGGTACACATATAGGCAACTTAACCGCCCGTGCCGGAAGCACTCCCCATCCACGCTATAACGACGTCGTAGTAGCTAATCTTGTTGTCCTTGCCCAGTGGAGCCCCAGGGACGATGAAGTCAAATGTTGGCTCGAACACCATGCCAGGTATGATGGCGACGATTTTGATCACGAGGCCCTCAGCACACTGTCGTGGAGCTCTGACTCGGAGGGAGAAGATAGTAATGAAAGTGAGAGTAACGCGGGGATGGAGGAAATTGGATTCGGAAGCGGAGAAGGATTGATTCAACACAGTACTTCCAAGTTCTGGTATCAAAGATACGTGCATGTACCGGGTGGCGGCTGGAGCTGACTAACGGGAGGAAATCAAGGGTGGGGTGAGAGTTGGCGATGCCCAGATGATCGATAAAGAGACGACCAACACGCTGGCTCCGGCGAGCACAGAGTCATCCGTTGTCTTTTCTGGGCTTTTGCCAGAAGGTGGACTTCGAGCGCTGGGTTATGATTGTTTGTAGTTGGCATGGTGACATCCAAAGGGGGGGGGGGGGGTCTCCAGACTTGCCAACGGGAAGCATATTTCGAGATGGCGTCGGGCAAGTGGCCTTTCCTTGCGCAGCTTTTCATGTTTGGTTTCACCGGTAATATAAGTCATTCTCCTATCCAATTTCCTCGTTGCCTTCAAAGGTCATCCAATGCTTTAATGACCACTGAAAAAGCACGAGGAGTGGTACTAGATAAGTTTGATGCAAATAAGCACCTTGATGCCTTTCTGTATCCTTGATGCGCCGGAAGCCCGACCTCAAGCCATCCATCGATGTGAGTGACTGAGGAGCCTTCTGGCTCTCAATTACCAGACATCCCAAGAACTCTGTCGACCATTCGATGTCCTACAGCCGAGTATCCCGGAACGAAGAGTTCCCCGTATGGTTGCATGAAGGTGTCTGCAGTCATTGTTAACGGCCGAAGAGCAGTGTAGATTACGCAGGACAATTGTTGACTAACCGTATGTCGTCTCAGGCTTTGTCCGACACAGCCAACTGAATACCTCAATCACTCCATTCTTGAAGTCACTCTTTGGAAACGCCTCCACAACGGCCGCATACTTGTCCTCCGGAACCCCCAGATCCGGTCCCACGAAGTCCAAGAGAATACCCTTGCTGACCGCCTCGACTTCAGCCTCTTTAAAAAAAGCAATTTTTCGTTCTGCATGCAAGGCGATAGCGTCCCAGACGAGCTGCACGCGGCGCTCCTCCCAACGTCTGCCATGATGGTGTCCACGGATGAACTTGCGCGCAGCAATGGCGCCATCGACTTCGAAGCGGTGGTCAGGCGTGACGATGGTCGAGTTGGGAGTTCGTTCCCAGCCCAGGTCGTGCAAGATCAAGGCTACGGCGTGGACCTCGGGGTCCACGAGGGTCTCGAGGGTACTGTTGTGCTGTAGCATCAGGGTGCCGAAGAGCCAGGAGCGCATGACGTGTCCGTATATATTGTCATCGCAGTGTTCTCGGGCGTACTGCCTCGCGGCTTGGACAATGGGAGTGTCAATTACTGAAACGCCCGCAATTATTCTCCGTGGGTGGCGGTCAGAACCTCGGGGGCCAAACAAGGGGGTGGCATGGGCTGAGAAGGAGATGCAGGCTCCGATGAGGGCGAGCCAGGTAAATCTGATGGCGAGCATCGTGGCTGCAGTGATTGCGTTCAAAGGACGCTCTCAGTGGGCGGGGTTACAAGTATTAAGAAGGTGTACCTTATAACCTTGGTACCGCTGAGAGAAGTCACCGCCGTCAGGGTTCCGAGTCTCATCGGTTCAACCAAGAGCGGCTGAGAGGGAGTTTGAGTCATTTTTGGCGACAACTCATCATCAGTGCCATTCCTTTCCTGCACAAGATCGCATATGATCGGTCAGCTGGGTCGGTCAACCTGGTCCGTCATCTTGGTACGCCATCTTATCCTCCGACAGACCTCGGAGCTTACATCAGGCCCTTAACAAACTCCAGTACCTCCTTGGGTATCATACCACTATGCCCCAAAAAAGCCTCTCCAAAAATGACACCAGCAGCCAACGCCCCATTAACCCCCACAAAAGACATGCAAAGCTCCAACTCGCGACGAACGGACTCCAGGGACAACCTCGCGCGTGCACACGAGACCTTACTGCCGGCCAGGCATCGTCGGCCTGGTCGATGACTGCATCCCCAGAAGTTGCTGGGCCAATTCCTGTTTGTTGAGATCAAACCAGTGTTGGCTGCAGCGAATTCTGTGGTGTCCCTCAAGGCTTGCTCGTACTTCTCTCGCGTCTGCGACGCCATTAGCCAACAGAACCGGATAGTCAGTGAGGGGCGAAGCACTTACCTCGCGGACCTCATTCCAAAGCTTCGCAATGCGCTAGGCGCAAGCGGCAGCATTGGCGTGTTTGGGTTCTTTCCTCAGATTCTTGATGGTTCTGTCGGCTCCATCAACCGCTGAGTAAGCCTGTTCTTGTCCGTGTTGAAGTCCACGCGTAAGCCAGCAATCTCAAATCGAAGCGCTTCCAATTCGTCCTCCCGGTGCTCCTTGAGCTTCTTCAAATCCCGCTCAACAGGACTGCACTCTGCCTGGGCTATATTTCGGGCCATCTGACGAACAGCCTGCTCGGTGACCACAGCCTTGAGTTTGGCCTGGACCTTGCCCATCTCGTCCTTAAAAGTTTCCAAATTCCTTGCCAAGTCCTGGATTTGTTTATTCTCGACTTCGATCTGGTTGTCCTTGGCCCACTGCTCAACTTGGGCGACGACGGCATCAGTGATCGCGGTGTCGATGGCAACGGTGATCGCATTGCTGATTGCAGCAGCGATTGAAGCTGAGTTCCTGCCGCCGTGGGGATCGACCTGAAGAAGTTGTTCTCCCGTTAGCACATCAATGAGCTAAGCAAGTCCGTTGCCAACGACAAATCCTAAGATCAACCAATGGTGGTGCCGCCCCCGAGTTCCCTCACTCCCTCCGTATGCCTTCATCCTCAAGAGTCGCGAGACCCACTGAGTCGGCGCTGGTATGTGACCGCACTTTCGCCCCGCCACCATACGGGATCGGCCAGTTGACGGAGATTGTATCCTTTGGCCTGCGGTTCTGCCCAGTCGACTTTCGACACCGCTAAGTCCACCCTAGAGGCCTGGTCTGGACTTCTCCCTGTATGCAAGCTGTTGAAGAGCCAAGCTTGCGATCCGGTTCTCTCCCTGCCGCCGAAGGCGGAAAAGAAGCTCGGGGCTTTCTGTTCTGCGTCCTCGCCTGTTGCAACCATGCTACTGCGATTGTCCCCTCGCATCCGACCAAGTGATTGTGTTGCAGATCATAACATGTGGGGTATGCGCTGCTCATGGATAACCTAGATGGATGCTGCTTGGCCAAGCAACGCCCTACGCGATGGCAACAGGAGTTCAGGCTGGCCAATGGCCTCCGACAATCGGGAGAGTACTTACCATCTCGTTGTTGTTGCCGGCCTGGGCGATTTTGGCAGTGATTGGCTCCAAAGTCGGAGGAGAAAACAGAGTCTGGAAAGAAAATGCAACTGCCGTGGGTCCCTATCACCTGGGCGATCTGGCGTAATTGAAGAGAGGGCCACGCACTTGGAGAGAGGGGGATGGAGTTTATTTTTGGGTGTGAAAGAACTAAGGCTAAAAAGAAAGTGGGAATTGCGAAGAGAAGAAGAATCAGGTGGTGTAGAAAAATTTTGCAAAAGGGACAGACATGGGATCAGGATGGGATGAAAGGAAGCGAGCTTAACGCTGTGATTTCTGATAAATCTTGAGTGAAACTACGAACCGGGCTTTTTCTCGCAGGCAATGCTGGCGTACTTGATGACGACCAGGAGATGTGACGCCCCGGGCAAAAGACGTTGATAGCATAAGTCATCCGATAGGAAAGACAGTCCGGGAGTGAGGGTATGTTGGAAGGAGGTGGGAAGTTGAAGCCGTTGTTGGGTTGGAGGAATGGGAGGGAAGAAGGAGCAGGAAACCATGGAGGAAATATTCACAGACTTTCGGGATTCTTAGTGCATAGGTGGGAGAATTGGTGAAAGATGGGTTCTTGGGTGTAGGAGAGATGATGTCACGCAGAATAGCGCCAACGTAAAAGAGCCGATTAGTTCTAATATGGGTGTTACAAGGAGAACACAGAGAAAATGGGAATCTGAAGTCCCCTTGCTATCGAGCCATCACCGATGAGGCACTGGAAGAAGAAGATATTATGTCGAGCATCGTCTGATACGCGCAGGGAATGTTGATCAGCTGCCAGTGTCAAAGGGCAACGACATGGAAGGAGTGAGCTTGAATTGATGGACGGTACAAATAACAGCAAGTAGGCATGACCTAGCGTAGGAGTGCCTGACTTAGGTTTTCAATGAGCGACACATCGCCGATGCGTTGCTCGTTCTCACTCGGGGGTTGCGGGCGGCAAACTCGCTGGCCACAGTGGGGTTCCTGGCCCAGCTTTATTTTGATGGAGAGCAACACCGCAAGACACAGTGGTTGAGTGGATTTGCTTCTGTAAGATGCCCAGTGTCGCTAATTCACCTTTCCTACTAGTATCTTACACGAAATGCAGCCAAGGCCTGGTGCCCTGCAACGCTTAGGAGCGTGGCCACCGGATAGCGGCCCCGCGCTTTCCAAACGCCAAAGCCAGCCAGCCAGCAATCAGGCACAAGCCCCCGAGCGGGGTGATGGGGCCCATGAAGCGGAAGCGGTCGGTGTCGAGGGACAGGGCATACAAGCTACCGCTGAACATGGCCATGCCGGCGGTGAAGAGGGTGCCGGCGACGGGATTGTTGCTGGCCATCAGCAGGGCGACCGAGTGGACGAGCTGGCGCAGAGTCAGCATCCCCGTCCTCTCGCCAAGACAAGGAAGCGGCGACATGAGATACCTGGTATTGAGCTGCGGTGGACCAGTTGGCCAACTTTTGAGGATCCGAGATGTGTTTCTTAAGCCCATGGGCGCCGAAGGCTCCGAGTCCGACGGCGGTTGCGCCGAAGATGGCGCCCGTCTTCCACAGGAGGGAGCTGCTCATTGTGTCCTCTTTTTGATGCGTGTTGCTTTGCTCGACAGTTGGGAGAAGAGGAGATGTTTCATCTGCCGCCATTCGGTCTTTGCATGCGTCACGGTGTCAAGCGCATGGCTCTCGGTTGCTTCGGCATGCAGTGACTTGGCAGATGCAGTCGAAATAAGCGTGCGGAGAGTGCTCGGATCGACCTCAGGTGGGGCTGCCTCAGGCCCAACGGCAAGCTGGGGAATCTCGTTGTGCCGACAGTTTTCCCCTAACCCTAGAGAATCCATGACACTTGACTATCAAGTGGATATCTCAGGTCTGAAACGTATGGCGCGTTTTTGGAAAACCCCGCAAAAAACCGCCCAGCCCTTTGATATCACTTTCAGAGAGGTAATTTTGGCAGTCCTCCCGTATTGCCCGGCAATCACGCAGTAGATTTCTTTAAAAAGCCATTAGCTAATGCAGCTCGTCGAGCTCAAAAGATTGATATCCTTTGGAAATGATGCATTTTTGTGGTTGTCGAGATGCACGAGCTTCAATTCCGGGAAGGCATTTCGCTCCCCTGGAACCGGCCGTCTGGCACCCTAAAAATTGGCGCCCAATCCACTAATCATTTAGGGCTCAACGCACTAATTTCAGGACTTCAGATCTCAACGACAGTTATCAATCTCAGGGCTACAGTACATACATTGGACGCTATATGACACTTGCACCCTTTCCACCCACCTCCCTGCCCCCCCCCCCCCCCCGAAAAAAAGAAAAACCAAAGAACGAAAAAAAAGAAGAACAGCCAAGCAACCCCCTTTTCACGCTTCCGCGGCCATCTACGCTCCAGATCCCCGTTCTTGATAGCCTTCGTGACCTTGTCAAGAGACCACTTGGGGCACAGCTCCTCCATTTGCGCGATAACACGCGACTGTTCGGCGGCGCTTTCTGCGCCGCCCCGCTCGCGCGACTTGCCCAGGATGAAGTCGACGATTGCCTTTCGACCGCAGAAGACGGACTTCTGCGACTTAGGGCGCCAAGCAGCACCATAGTTAGCCTCGAGTGACTCGATTGAAGGCATGCCAGCCCTTCCGTATCTCCACAGGAGCCACAGATCCGGAATAGAGCGAATATCTAAAGGGACCTCAAACCTAGGCACGTTCGACGCAACCGCCGGCGGCGCCGGCGGCGGCGGCGGCGGTAGAGACGCTGTGGTAAGCTGGGGAACGCCCCCCTGCTCTTCGTCTCCAGTAGATAGTTGGGGGGAAGGGGCCCCGCGGCCCGGCGCCCTCGGTCGCCCGCGCTTCGGCATCTCGAGCCGTTGTACGACAGTGCTGCGTCCCGGACTGATCGTGACAGTGTACGACGCTTTAGAGAGCTCGTCCATCCTCTTCTCCAGCCTCTGCACCTGCTGCGTAAGCTCAGCAAACGCCCTTTCGATCCAGAGGTTGGCGGCAGTTTGTTGGCTCGAAAGGGCACGTAGGTTCTCGGCGACGGCGGGGATGGCTCGATCGATAGTGGCCACATAACTGTCTTCCTCGGCCGCGTGGCAGGCGTTCTCGACTTGCAGCGCAAACGCTGCAAACTGGGGACTCTGGAAGACTGGGTCCTGGAATAGAGGATGTCGGGGGTATAGTTTCTGAAGGAAGACGGCGTCCTGCAACAACACGTCTCGAAGCCAATCGAGAAGCTCGAGAAATGCGCCGGCGGCCTTGTTCGCTTCCACAGACCAAGATCCAGCATCGTGGGCATCTTTCCACTCGTCGAGAGATGGCCATATACGTGTACGGAGCGCGAATGGCGGTTTAACGGTGTCCCGCGGCAGAAAGTACGACCCAGACCAGTCGGGGTCGAAGTCGGCTGTAGACCTCATAAACTCGAAAGGCAGAGATGTAAGGTAACACCCCGTCATCTGAT